AATAATCGAAAGAGAAGCTGCCAACGAGGACGACGACGCCGGCGACGACGGCGGGGCAGCGACGCTGACGGGAGATCTTCCACCTTACGCGGACGAGGAAAGTTCGCTATTGACGCCAAACGTGAGGTGGGTGGACGCGAACTGGAAGCAGTACACTTCTGGATTCCTTCGGGAAAACGAAAACGACGATCTGGAGTGGGATCCGTCTCAAGACGGTCGACGATTTCCAGACGAACCGGAGACGCACCCGAGACCCACGTCGTCTTCGACGCCGGCGACTCCCGAGTCCGTCGCGCTGGAAGATCTCGATGCGCACCGTCGAGAATCGGCGAAGGAGAACGAACGTACGTTGGAACTGGGCAACCAGAAGCTGAACAAGGTGCAGGACAAACTTGCGGAAAAGGAACGAAAACTCACCGAAGCCAGAGTCGTCATACAGAAATTAAAAGACGAAATACACGAGGCGAAGATGTCCGCGTTGAGAGAATCGTCCGACGTTCGCAGCATCGCGGAGGAAGAGGTCGAACGTCTCAAGACCGAACTTGCTTCCAAGACGGATGCCCTGAAGGAAAGAGATCTGGACGTGGTTCGCTTGGAATCGTATCTGAAAGCCGCGAGAAGAAAGTCGAAGCAGCCGCCACCTGAAGAGAGCGGACTCGAGCTACAGCAAAAGCTGCAGGAAACCGTCCGCAAACTGAAAGACCGGGAGAGATCGCACGCCGACTTGGAAGAGGAGTTGGAAGAGAAAGACGACAAAATCAGCGCGCTGAAAAAAGAGTCGACGCTCGCCAAGACCGCGATGTCCATGTACGAAAAGCGGGTGGACGTCTTGGAAGAAAACCTGAAAACGGCTTGCAAGCGATACGACGAGGAAGTGAAAAGCAGACGGATTGTGGAGGCGGCCGCGAAAAAGGCAGACGAGCACGCGCAATTAATGGCCGACAAGAACGTCGAATTGCAGCGAGAACTGTTAAGACGGCAAACCGATGAGTCGTTGTACGAAATGGAAGTGAGCATCGGAGAGAAGGAGGAGTTGCGGCGAGCGCAATCCGATCTGGAGGAGGAACGGAAGACGGTTATGCGATTGAAGAGTGCGATAGAGGACCTGAAAAAGGACCAAACGCGTCATTCGGAGGTTCTTCGAGAGAACAGGAACCTGAAGGA